CAGGTGAAAAGGCAGAGAAGCTAAGGGGGATGAAGATTCAGAGATGACATTTTAAGTTCTTTGCAACTCCCTAGCAAGGCTGAGGCTCAAATCGAGCCATTGCTCATACATTGCTGTGCATCAGTGGAGCCATGATGCGTGTGGACGGCTGTGTGCACAAAAAAATGTAATGGGGTAAAGCTTGCTTCTGACTTAGCTAGGAGTGCTTTCAGTTAGGTGTCCTATTCCACACATCCTACGATCCACATCATGATCATGGACAAGTCAGGTAAAATGGTGTGATTTGTCAATCTCCCATCTTGAGATGATTGACTATGGAGGGTCAGCTTCACTGAACTCACATTCTCATACAACCATTTTCCCCTAAAACATTGTAGTTTTGTTTTTATTTTTTTAAGTTTGTTTGTAAGAAACAAGATGCTTTTGAAACATGAAGAGGAAAAAATAGATTACAGACACACTTCATTTTCAACCAATGACTTCTACTGTCACAAGTAGAAGAGAGCTCACACTTGGTCATTTTTGATATTCACAGTTTTTACCAAGAAAAGATTGAAATTAATTGTTCAGATCTTGTTGGTAGTTCACGGCTGCCAAAGGTTGTGTATATTTTAAAACCTTAATTGTGCAGACAAATGTAAAGCAGCTCCCAGTGCGCGCAGTTGTCAACCAGATGCAAAACATCATTACAGCCCATATGGCTGTAAAATTTGTTGCCAAGTATCCTTAGGCGCACTTCAGTCATTGAACTGTCATCTTTGCATTTTGTGTATTGATTGAGGAGGGTAGCTGAACTCTCTTCTCTTGCTCTTTCTTTTTTACATCACAGCTTTCATTTGTAGTGGTCTAAAAGCAGAGATCAAGAGGGAACACTTATGACTTCTCTCCCAAATGGCTAACAGGGTATTTTTTGTCATCATTAAGCTGCAGAGTTTCACTAAACAGCATGATGAAAGGCTTCTTACAGCATTGGGAGCATTAAAAATATGCCATTCAGGTTAAGCTAAGCCATAAAGCAAACTTCATTTTCTGGATAAGATGCAAGTCGAAGTTTCTGCAGTAATTAAATCTCTCTCTGTCTTTTTAGGAAAAAATTTAAAAAAAAAAAAAAAGTGAATGGTGGCTCCAGCTTCCCTCAAACTCCAGATTGTGCCCATCTACATTGAGCTTCATTTTGTTCCTGCCAGTTTCGGTTCCTTGCAACATCCTTCCCCTCTTCTATATTTACACACAGCTTCACTGAGTGTTTCTGAGCCCCTGTCTCACTCCCCTGGGTTGCAGCAGGAGGATGAGGAGGGGGTAGCTGTAAGAATAACGTTTTGATTCCAGATTTATTTCCAGTGGGTAGGTGTAGATAATACAAAGGAAAACCAAACACCAGTGTTGCTGCGCTTGGCACAAGCTCTCCTTCTGCCTGCTCTCAGCTGGTGTGTGCTCCTGGGAATGCTCTGCAGAAGCATCACCGTGCCCATGGGGTGTCTCCAAAGGTGGTCACTGCATGTGTCTGGTTTTGCCTTTACATAAAGTGAAATAGGAAGAGTCTAAAATGAGGATTGCAATGATGGTATAGTACAGAAGTACCTTGAAGAGTCTGAAAAATAACCCCAGGTCCTTGAGCTATGTGGGATTTGTCTATTAGCTGCAAGAATGTAGTTTACATCTCCAAGATCATTAATGTGGATGATGCCCAAATGTAAGCCCTGAATTGAGTGGTTTTTATTACTAATGACATCAGCATTGCACAGGAGCATCACAGCCCCTGGTACAGGGGACAGCCTTGATGGCCTGGGCTGAGACTGGTCCCAATGTGCACCAAGAGGGACCGAGCATCCTTGGGCTTGCTTGCCATGGCTGATGTGACACTGGGGCTTTTGGTGTTCACAGGAGAGATTCATCCCCTCCTCCTTGCCCTGGACACAGGGCTTGCCTGCTGGAAAAGCGGTTATCCAGCCAGGAGAGGACCACAGCTCTCCTCCTCCATCAGGCTTTCCGAATCAAAGACGACATCCTCTCCTACCTCCAGGGAAGCAAAGGTTACCAGCATGGGGAGATGGATGCCCGGCGGCTCCTGGAAAACCACATCCAGACCATTACGAGCATCGTTAAAAAGCTCAGCCAGGACATCGAGGTAATACATGCCAGAAAAGCACTCACCGTGACCGCTATGTTTTGGTTAAATTGTGATTTTTCTTATATAGTGGCACTCGCAGTTACTTGTGAAAACAGAAGGGAGGGGACTAGGGAAAGTAACAAAAAAAAAAGGTGGGGAAAGTAAAATGAAAATAAAAAGCAGATTAATGTTTTGGTGGTGTTTTAATTCAAAGGTTCAGATTCTATGTGCTTTCAGTTTTGTTGTCATGCAGGAGGTTGAGTTCAAAGGAAATAAGTAGCAAGCTGTGTTTTCATCTAGTGTATAACATCAAGACTCAAGTTTGTGTTACTGTTTAGTTTTCCTGATGCAGCTGTTCTACAGCTTTTCTGCATGCAAATATCATCAAATTGCTGAAACCCTTCCCAAACCACACTGTGGACTGAAATGTTCAGTTCCACATTTTATTTAACCTGACTGATGGTTCTGTGCTGGAAATGCATGGGACACCCTTTTTCTGGCTAAAGACCTTTGATTATATGCCATTACTTGTCAAACTTATATGTGAAATTTACCTGCACAATTTGGCTTTTCTTTTTGGACAAAGGTGTAAAGTACAAAACCACCATGAAATAAACTCATCCAAAGATTTGTTTTGTCCTTTGAAGTGTTAAGTATCTTAAAGTAACACTACAATCACAATATATTTTGGTTTTCATTTAGTTGGAGAATTATTTGATCTTCTGTGTGTTTATCTTAAGAAGCATGCAATCATGTTTCCCCTGAAATTAATCTGAACTTAAAGGTTTTCAAGGTTTTGATACTATGGTGATAAGCAATGCTATAAACCCACTTATTTCCAACTCCTCTAACCCTATCCAGATCAAGCATGTACCAGACTGTTTTGCTATAAAAATGCCTAAGTCTAATTTTTTGCCTTGGTTGTAAATTACTCTTCTTTAGGCCCAAATCTCAGGTGTGTCTTTACTTTGTGTATTCTGATTCTGGGGATTGGATAGGGGTAGAGCACCGACAGCACAGCAAGCAACACGGTGAGACCACTCACAATCACAGCCACTACAGAATTATCGGAGGTTTGGAGAGTTGCTCCTGACACACAGCAATGAGAGCAGATGAGCAATGTTAATTTCTCAAGCATTTAAAAAGAAAAAAATAAAAAGGATCCTCCAGGAAATGTGACATACTTGTACTCCAAATCTTCCCCAAAGCAGGAAGAACATCCTTTAAAAAAGGGTGCTTTGGGGAAATTGCTGGCATGCCATTGCCACCAGAAATGGAGCTGAGCCCAAATAAACACACCCCTCTGCCAGAACCAGAAAAATGTCCTGGCTTCTGCATCAGGGATATCAAGCAATCAGTGACAAGAGGAAAATGACCAGACCCTTGACAAAGACATCCTTCAGCATCCCAGGAGAGGATTGCACATTGCAAGAGAAAAGCATCGATGCTTTTCTCACGGGGGGAGTGGCAGTCCCATCCTGTGCCTCTGTCTTTGCAGACTTGCAGCATCAGACTTGCATTGCCAAATATGCTGCCAAAAACCACACTGGAGTTGTGCAGTATGTTCAGCCCTATGCAAATATAATTTTCTAACTCAGAACAAAAATAAAAATAATCTGTATGTTCAGTATTCGGGGTGGGGGGAGAGGGGTGACAGGATGAGTCAGGATGAAGGAAAGCTGCTGAATTATTGAAAATTTTAAATTAACTCTGGAATGTTGTGCAGCTAGGCAACAGATGGAAGGTCATAAGGTGTCTTAGAGTGGTAAATGTTTAACCGTAACTATAATGGTTTAGGACCAGAACAATCAGGTGAGAAAGAACATCTGCAAGCGTCAATCAAGAAATTAGCCAACCTTGTAAGAGTACAAAGGCAAGAAAATTAATTGAGAAAAAGGGACTCCACTGCGCAGAATCAGAAGAAAGTTCAAGTAGTGGGCAAAGTGAAGAAGACTACTTACTTCATCCCTCAACCACCAAAGACCACCAGAAAGAACCTCTGTGCATGAGCAAAACAACATTTTCGTATATATCGATGAGTTCCAGGAAATTTGATGTTTATGTAAAAGAATTCCAGGGATTTTACGGAAAACGTACAAGTTTGCAACATCTATTCTCTGCAGTTTTGCTCGTCCATTGGAACACTTAATGCAGAGCTATCCCCAGTGCTGCCCAGTGCTACAAAGAAAGGTATAC